GTTTCGCAATGCCAAAAATACCGCTATTTCATAGGGGTTTCACAAAGCCACAACACAGGGGATGCATAGGACCACTAAAGCTGCGGAAGATCTGGGAGAAGCCAATTCGAGAAGCAAGTGGGTCTGTCCCAAATCTCCAGCGTTGGTGTGTAAACCGCTGTAAACCGCTATGTGACTCTGGTTTGTGAAAGGCGGTACGTAAATAAAGATTGATTACTTAAGTTACATGGAATATTGAAAGCAGAAGAACTTGAATAATTAATAGTTAAAAAAATTATTATGTCCAGTCTTTTGTGATTAACACAAACACACAGACAGGCAGAGACAGACAGACACACACACACACAGACAGAGAGAGACAGACAGACACACACATACACACAATATCAAGGATTTCCTTTTCTATGCAGACAGGAGTGTGTTCAGGAACTATTCCACTTTCCAATGCACTATAATCAAAGCTGACATTTTGTGGTTCATGACAATAGTCGGCAACAACAGGGTTATGTCTCATTATAATAAACTTCACGCTGTAGAACAAACTTCCAACAGGCGTCAGGTCAAGAGGAACCGAGTTCATACCTTTTACACTGCTAAATGGATTGAACAGCGGCAGAATGTTACCAGTGACAGAGTTAAGATGAGATTCTTCACAATCCACAAACACACTCACCTTCTCTGGACACAACTGCACAGTGAAAACTACACAAAGGTCGTCTGGTGTTTAATCACTATTGTACATGGAGTAAACAGTAATTACGATAATGATAATAATGCAATAGTTTTATATAGTGCTTTTTAGGACACTCAAAGTCACTTCATATGGATCTCCTGGACTTTCACGAGTCTTTCTTAACGCGTCTCAGGTCATACCCACATACAGACACACACACACACACACACACACACGTTTTTGTTACCTGGTGGGTCCCTTTGACAGGGCCGTTCAGAATGGGACCCATAGACATAATCTTTTTTTACTGGGACTACTTTAAGTAATACAAAACAGTCAATAGAAAACAAACAACTCTTTTAAAGGAATTTTATTTTTGATTTTTTTTTTCGAATTGCAGTGATTCTATTTTTGACATAGAATTTAATGCCACTCCATGTCCGATGTCTAAGGTCATCTGGTGAGTCATTAATGCAGGCCAGGCAGTGAGACTTCCCAGGGACCTTTCCAGTCTGTATGAAAGGCGTCATGGTCTCCACAGCCTTCACCTCAGATGCAGACCATGGCTTTCTTACACGTTCTAGGGAGAGAAATAAAAATATATTAGCAATATACACTCCCAGGGTGAGGACCAAGCAGCCTGGCTGTAATCCCCCACCTGGTACACTTACCAGAAGGGGCACTGCCACTACCATGGGGTGCATCTGGATGAATGGTTGAAGGTTCTCCGCTTGAAGTTTCTTTTAGCCCGTCCGTTTGTGAGAGGATCTCTACTGCTCTCCCTGTCGCACAGAAAATAAAAATACAAGTGGCCTTTAGGGGAAAAAAATCATACATATTTTAATAATATCAAGAATTACCTTCAGGCTCAATTTGTATCTGGTCGAGGCTCTTTCCTTCGAATTCCGTCACTCTTCCCTGCTCCATGGCCATCAACACTTTGCTGATTTTGGCCAGCTCCAGTGTCCCCTCTGGTAGTCTGTAATATTGCCTGTGGATGCGAATGTCATGGCCGAGGAAGTTGGCAAGTATGTCCATCTCATTCTCTTTCATATTGAGAACTGTAGACATAGTAGCTATGTGCTTTCTAAGTTTGGTTGAGGATAGCATCTCTGGATGCACCGCACCACATTCTTTGGCTACCTGGCGTAGGGAGTCTGATCCCCTGATGTGGGTGTCTGCGCCCGGGCGGGAAAAGAAGTATGGGTTATGGTCAGAGATGGAACAGGCCCTTCTGTTCTCCACCAGCACCTCCATCGAAGCAATCATTTCAGGAGTCAAAAGAACCGGCACTTTCCGACTTCTTTTCCCTTTAATTTCAATGCGTTGAAAATGCTGACACAGCTTTTTCTCAAGTTGGGACAGTCCCAGAGCAATGTCAGAATGGATCCCAGTCTTACTTCTTAAGGTAAAGGCTGTCAGTGGCATCTTTGAAACCTCACCTTCCCTTCTTCGATTGAAAATGATGACCTCACAAAGAGTCAAAACTGCCAGTTTAGACCAATGCTTAGACGTTGGCTCACTTATTAGGGTTTGCACATATTCAGGTCGACATACCTCAATATGTGCATGCATGGCTCTAACGTCCTCAGTCAGAGGGAGCAGGTCCGGAGTGTTCCACTTGGCTTGCCGGAGGGTCTGTAGGGCAGCAGAAGAAACACAGACGTACCACCTCTTCTCAAAAAGCAGCCGGCTTCGTTGGAGGTTTTTAATAAATAGTTCATCAACACAATGCTCCATTTTTGAGTCACATTCAAGAATATCTGCTAGCTTTCTGAGGCTATGGCCCGAGTTTGAGGGCCAAGGATGGAGTCTTGTATTGATTTGTTTCCTCATCATATCCAGCCACAGACCTGACTGCATCAATCACATGGTTAAAGTTGGAAGGAATAAAGAAATCCTTAATTGTTTTCAGTTTCCCTGCGGTTTTTGCTTCGTTAATTAACCTACCGACTTCTCTCATTTTCTGCCTAATGTAATCATGCTTAGTCTTATCATGCCCGTGTTTTAAGTACAGGTGCTCTCCGAGTCTCAGAATCCCCTTTTCTGCTTTGACAACACCCGTGACCTCATCCTGATGCATTGCCGAAATTAAAGACCACAGCTTTTTGCTGATGCCCTCCGGTACAGGCTGGGCTAGGGAGCAGAGGGACTGGACCCTACTTCTACCTGGTTTAGCCTGGGCATCTTTCTGTGAAAGCCGGCACCTGGCCACATGCCTCCACAGCGACTTTCGCTTAAGCAATGCCCCACAGTCTATACAGTGCAAAAACTCACTGGATTTAACTGGGGAATTTGGCTGTTTAGCTGGGACTAAAGTTCCAATGCCGGCCTTTAAAACCTCAAAATTGTGCTCACGGTTTCCACTATTCCTGATCAAATCAAACTGAAGTTTACGTGCTTTAGATTTCACAGGTAGAGCCAATGCTCTGGCTACGTCACTTTCATTTCCATGTTTTCTAGTCAAATGACGGGACATTTTGTGGCAGGACATTGAACAGTAGAGGCAGAAGTGTCTCTTGCTGTATACTCGCCCCCCATTTTTCTTCTTTTGCAGCTGCATGATAACAATCTTATTTGCCTTTGGTTCGTCACTTTCCGAGTCTTGAAGAAAAGTGTTTTTGATTTTTCTTTTTCCATACTTTTTTACAGGTTTCTTCTTGACAGTTAAATCGTCAGAATCTGAGTCGACTTCATCAATTAGGGACTCTTGACTAAGCTGCACAAACAACAAATAATTTGTAATCATTCTATATAAAAATTTGAAGTCATGACTTGTAGTCAGCACTTACCAGTGGTTTGTAAGCGTGCGCTTCAGTGTGCTCCTCCATGATTTCTTGCAGCCTAATGAACCACACACTTGCACCTTTTTCTAGCCTGACACCTGATTTCCTCTGTTGTGCTGCTCCATGATTGGCTCCAGCCTGCTGGACTGAAATTGCCCCAGTGTGCCCCTCCTTGATATCCCGCAACCCACCACCAGGGTTCCGACACATAACACACTTTTTTCAGGAAAGTAAACCTCCAGGGGTCCTTTCCATATTTTTACAGAGACTGCATAAGGACCGTTAGAAAAGCATTACCCATTGATTATTAAGCTTGGACCAGTGGGGTCCGGTGTTCGGGCCCCACCACGTAAAACCAGTCCCCATGACGTGAGTGGAATCTCAGGTTATGGAACCCACCAGGAGTTGAAAACAAGTGCACACACACACACACACACACACACACACACACACACACACACACACACACACTCACACACACACACACACACACACACACACACACACACACACACACACACACACACACACACACACACACACACACACACACACACACACACACACACACCACACACACACACACACACACACACACACACACACACACACACACACACACACACACACACACACACACACACACACACACACACACACAACACACACACACACATTTTGTACAAGTAGGAAATGATAATTGACTGGAGTTTATGGTTGGCTGAGGCCAGGCTAAAGGATACAGAATCAGTTTGGCACTTTACAGCAGCAGCCACCTGTGGTCTTGAGAAAGCTCTGAGGCCCTGTCCTGTGCTGTGGCCCCTGCTGTCCCCAAAGGTCTCCCATCACAGTATCCCAACTCCACTTTCCTGCTTACCTTTGAGGTCTGATCAAGCTTTCACATGCTGTGTTTCTTTGGAAACATGACGTGGTTGTTTCATACTGGAGCAGCGTACATGAGAAAACATGCAGAAGCAGGAAAAACGATCTAGTTCTTTGCCAACCTCTGATATTTGAGAAGGATAAACACAAAACCAAATGTCTACGCTAACTGGACAAACCAGAGCTGAAGAAACAATCCAAACAGGAGGTACGTTGGAAATGTTTATTCTGACATGAACAGAATGAATATAAATACAACTTTAGTGCGTGGTGTGTGTTTCTGTGTGTGTGTTTCTGTGTGTCTTTGAGTGTGTGTGTGTGTGATGGGCGGTCTATCCACGGTCCATCCCCAGCACCTTGGGTCTGCTGGGCCAGTCGTGTGGCTGGATGGGGTGGCGGTGGGAAGGAGGGACATACCCCCACTTGATGAGTGGTCACCCCTGACTCCCCCGGTCCTCACCCCATGAGGAGTGGAGAGAGCGCACAGGGGGGCTACGGTCAGAGAAGAAGAGGGGGAGGAAGAGGAGGATGGGGAACAATGTACAAACAGAGGGGACGTCCCGCGCACATAGTCCTTGTCTTTCCTGCGTTGGTCTGGTGTTAAGACAGTGTGGATGTCCTCACACTAGGGGGCGCCGCTGTGCTCCAGATGTGGCTTCTTAAACGGACATGATGTGCTTGACGAAAGCTGCAACACAAAGACAACAACAGCTCAGGTTAGAACAGACAAAAGCAGCAATGTGTGATATAAATGTCGACATTGTTATAAATTCAAAATTCTTACACTTTAAGCACAGTTTAAAAGGGTGGAATAACACCAAACTTAAATAGAAACTTTTATTAGAATTTTAGTTTTTTAATTGGAAATGTTACAGCAATGTTTAGAGCAGCATTGTAAAACTGATGACACTAGATAAAACAAACTATGTTTTGACGGCAAAGTTTATTTTTTAATAAATACAAAAAAATAACTATATACTTTAATAAATATTTTTGGTACAATGGAATATGGTTTTGCTCGGTAAAATCTTTTCTGTGATGTCATCTCTTAAAACCAAAAGTACAACTATAAATATAAAAACATGACTAAACTTGGATGAAACGCTGCACTTTTAAGTAGATGAAGTCTCATAAAACTGTTCCTTTACTTTGGCAACAAAGTTATTGACAAACAAATGCAGAGTGGGCTCCATGAGAGAACTTACCCTCGTAGTGGATGCTGCCATTCTCGTCCTCCTGACCCTGCATCAGAGACTCGATCTCGTTCTCGGTCATCTTCTCTCCTGTAGGGGTCAGCCCACACACACACATTAGGAGAGGGGTCTCATTAGAAGCCCCTCTCCTCCCCTCCCCTCTCTCCTCTCTCTCCTCTCCTCTCCCCTCCTCTCCCCTCTCCTCTCTTACCCAGGGTGGACAGCACAATACGCAGCTCAGCGCCCATCACGGTGCCGTTGCCCTCCTTGTCAAAAACGCGGAGACCCTCCACGTAGTCGTCCACGGTTCCCTTGGGCAGAGCGTCCACTTTCTTCAGCATGGGCACGAAGGCGTCGAAGGCCAGCCTCTTGTTGGCCAGGTCTGAGGGGAAACATACGGCTCACAAAACACACACGGGACTAGACACTACACACAGGCTCAAAGACTCGCAAAAGACCCTACAGGAGATGAGGCTTTTATATAGAAGCTTTTAAACGTATGGAATAAAAGCAAATCTATTCATGTATTCAGTTATGGATTGGCCCATTGATAGGATCCATCTCAAAACATCTTTCTACAAGGACATTTTCAAACATGTTTATGCCAGACTACAGACAAAGTAAGTACCTTAAAGTGTTGGAACCTCTATTTCCCTTGTGGTATTTGTGTTAAATGACCATTTGTATGTATCATTATCCACTAGGTAATGTCCCCGACAAGTTGTTTCTCAACCATTTTGTAAAGGCCTAAATTGAAAATACTGCGGTTTATAAACAATTGAAAATGTATGTTTTGTAATTTTGCTCCTAAAAAAAATTCTGTGCAATAAAATCAAACAATCATGGCATTATAAAACATGTTGACCATTGCAGACAAAGCACTTTATCATTTTACAATCTCCAACGATAATATTTATTACTATTAGTATTAATAATACACTTCTCTTCTTAATCCCTGTAAATTAACACAAACAGTCCACGTGTGTGTTTGTGTGTGCGATTGTATGTCTTATGTTGTTCATATTGTGTTGTTCTCTATTCATTCTGTTATTATTTATTGTATGCTTTACTGTATCTGTGTGTATAATTATCCACTGACATTAAGTGGTAGCTGTGTGTTTGCTCCATGTCGTAAACAGTGTGTTCAGGGCTGGGAGTGGGTTTAGGGGGGTATGTTGGGGGGTATGATGGGGAGGTATGATGGGGGCTCGTACCGTCGGCGGAGGGGTTGCCGAGGATCTCGTTGACGGACTTGTTGGTGGGGTTCTGTCCGAGAGCGCGCATGATGTCGGCCACCTGGTTGTAGGCCACCTGGCTGTCACCGACTCTGTCAAAGAGACCGAAAGCCTCCTTGAAGTCTGCAAAAAGAGAATTTACCAAAAAATCAGGCTCCAGATGATCCAAAAATCCCCCACAGCCTGTTTAGAACTATTTACAGCAGTGCTAACGTATTCCTTACATTCTCCCACACACTTTATCCTACATTAGAGCTGGACTTTTGGTTGTTCTGACGATTAAACGCCTGCTACGTAGATACAAAGTGCAAGAAGATGATGTCATAATCTATACCAAGAGCTGCTTGTACAAAAAAACATTTAAAATATAAATAAAAGGAAGGAAGGAACGCAGACTTGAAAAAACAATATTCCAAATCTAACTTTCATTATGGATTTCATTTTGATTGTTTAAGCTTTGAATTCACTACTAGTAGGAGTAGTTAGAGTAGTAGTAGGAGTAGCGGTAGTAGAAGAAGTAATAGTAGTGGGAGTAGTAGTAGTAGTAGAAGCAGTAGTATTGATATTAGTAGTAGTAGTCAAATTTGATGATATTGTGTCCTAGAACGGATATGTAGTAAAAGTATGGGGCGGCACGGTGGCTGAGTTGATAGCACTCAGCCAGATAGCAAGGTCCTGGGTTCGAATCCCGGCTGGACCAGGGCCTTTCTGAGTGGAGTTTGCATGTTCTCCGCGTGTCTGCGTAGGTTTCCTCTGGGTGCTCCGGTTTCCCCTACCACTAAAAATATGTACAATAGGTCTGGCATGTGCCTCCTGTACTGGCACCCCCACTCCCCCAAAAAAAAAAAAACACAATTGTAAACTGCTTTGAGACTCCGATGTGCAGTGAAAAGGCGGTATATAAATAAAAATTACTTACCACTTACTAATAAAAGTAATAATGAGATTGCTGTTTACAGACTGTGCCTTATTCAGTAGTAAGTAATCTATTACTACTTATCCAGTGTTTTTGTTATGTCATTGTGCTAGCTAACATCGGCCTCTGAAGAAGTAAAATGCAAGCTTACCACGGTGAGTTATTATAATGTGAGGATTGGAATGGGCGAGAAAGTAGAAAACAAGCTTGAATTGCCGCTAAATAGCAATATGCAATTTCACAAATGAAATAAGTAAAATTAAGGATGGAGTAAAGATGCATTTGATAACTCCATTTATTTTTAAAAACAAAGTTAGTTTTGTTGTTATAGTGATAGTAGCAGTAGTAGCAGTATTTACAGTTGTAGTCACAGTAGTATAAGTAGAACTAGAAGCAGCTGTACCAGAAGGGACACTGCAAAAAATGACTATATGCGACAATAATTGCTTGAATCGAGTTGTTTTTATCCTAATCATTTTGCTTTGTCCCATTGGAAAATCTTGTTTAAAGTCAGATGCATTTAGCCAAATTAGATTTTTTTTTTTACTCATTCATCAATTTTTGCAGTGTAGTGGACTGAACTGTAAGCTATTGTTGCAGTAGTAGTAGCTGCAAAAGTAGTAGTAGTAGGGCTAGTAGTAGAAGTGGTAGTAGCAGGAGTAGTAGAAGTGGTAGTAGCAGTAGTAGCAGCAGTAGTAGTAGCAGTAGTAGTAACAGTAGCAGTAGTAGTAGTAGCAGTAGTGCAGTAGTAGTGGCAGTAGCAATAGTAGTAGCAGCAGTAGTAGCAGTAGCAGTAGTAGTAGTAGCAGTAGTAGTAGCAGCAGCAGTAGTAGCAGCAGTAGTTGTAGCAGTAGTGCAGTGGTAGCAGTAGTAGCAGCAGCAGTAGCAGTAGCAGCAGCAGTAGACCTCTCTGTGAGTATCTGTGCTAACCCGTCACATGTAATGAGATCCAGGCAGTTTCCATCACGGTGCTTATATTTAGATGTTGTGCTCGTGTCAAACTTCATGCATCTCTGAAATTTCATTCATTTTGAAAAACAAAAACCAACCCTGACACACATTCATTACAAATATTAGAAACAAAGTAACGTTAATGTTAGGAAAACTTGTTTTGTTTACTTGATGACTAGTTATAATAGACACACATTTGTTACAGTTCATTCTGTAAATTAAATTAGTTAAAAAAACAACAAAAAACCAATATCTCCATGGAAACAAACAGGAGGATCCTAAAGTTTGTGGAAAGGCAAGCCTGCTTATAGTTGCAAGGATTCCAACACAAAACCAAGCAAAATGTGTGCAAAGGTTTTCTCAGCCGTCCATTTCTCACCATCTGAATTTATTTAATTATCAAATAGAAAATAAAGAAATTACACATATAAATTAAAACAACAAAATTATATTCAGTTTGTGAATGAAAACAGTGATATTCAGTCTCTATACACTATGAATTCTAACTACTACTGTACCACTCCTGCACTTCCATGTATAGGCTACCGTCGCAGCTGGTGATTGGACAGTTTTGTGGGTTCAAATCCCCCCCCCCTTTCACATTTGAACCTGATCCCAGCGTGGCACTGCCCTGATGCCATATACAGCACCGACCCACGGCTGCTGACGGCGGAGTAACCCACACCCCCACAAGACTCCTGACCGCGCACAAGAACACGGCCGGCCAATCAGAAAATCCCTTTTTATAGAAGGCAAGGAGGGGAAATATAGATTTAGGGGGAGGGACAAAAAGTCAGAATAAAAAAGAGGCTAAAATTAAATTGTTTTGAGGTTATCAATGAGAAAACATGGTGTAGATAATGGGTAATCATTAGCTGGATATTCTAATGAAAAGTTTTCTAGACAAAGGTTAGTTACAGTATAAAAGACACAAAACACGGACAAATACAAAAAAATAATAATTAATGGGAGCATTGTTGTGCGTTTATACTTCTTTAATATGCCAAAGTTAGAGATTTTAAACGTACTTACTAAAGGGCTAAAGTCAGAAATGTTGCTTCTTCATCAAGATAAAGTTGGAGCTCCTAGATTTGTTCCTTATACTGAAGCCAGAGATTTTATTTTATTTTATTTAGTATATTAGAGTTATTGTTCATTTATCTTGTGCCGTGTGCGCCTCATTCCTACTGTTTGTAACTTGTGATGCAACACTGGAATTTCCCTACTGTGGGACGAATAAATAATCTCATCTAATCTTACATTTTTCATTTGTCAAATCTGACCGGTACCCAGTGCACACCACATAACCCAACGCTAGCCTCGCCATGTGCCAACGTTGAAAATGGCGGCCTCCTTCAGCGAGATTTTTGTAACGGGATAGGGGAGCGTCTTAGAGGTGAGCTCCAGGATTATCGGCCCCTGCGTGAGCGTAAGGGCCGCTGGGGGAGGCGGGAGGCGGGGCCCGGGGGGTGAAGGGGGCTGCTCAGAATAGACACGACAACTGGACAGTGACAGGACAGCACATGGCGTCCTCCAAGTGGAAGTGTAGGGTGACATGCCCGGAGCGTCCAGGCGTCTCAAACACGTGATCGTTTCAAATGCCTGGATTTCAGAGCAGGATTGAAGACATATACTTGTTTTAGATTATTATTTTTGTGACGCAAATTATTTCACTAGTTTGAAGTTCAGTTAAAACCAGAGAACAGGAATAAAACAGCACTTTTTTTAGTTTATTTTTCCTGTACTTTTTACCTTTTTTTTGTTTATGTATTTGACTGGTGCACACTGGAAACTTTAGTCAATGTATTCCAATGTGGTTTTACTGCAAATGACAAATAAAATTAATAAAATTAATAAAATCAATCTGAATCCGAAGCATGACTAGTCACAAGACATTTGCCTTTTGGGTGGAATTAATTATTCTCATACTATTGGCCTAAAAGAAGTGTTTAACGTCAAATAATATTGGTTCTATAAAGTAAATAACAGCTTTTGATAAGACAAGTAATGCACTTTTAATGCAAAATTTAAGAGAAAAAAATGATGTAGTGTTGTGGAATTATATGATTCTTTTTTTTAATGAATATTTATTGTCGTTAATTGTTGTTTTGTCTCACCCTCAATCTGGTCCGGGGAGAAGTCGGGGGCAGCGGCTGCTTCTTCTGCCTAAAACAAGCACAGATCACATCAATAAATTTATATTATACATAATCAACACATCAAACAATCAATCAAGAGAAACATTTTGACATAAAACTGTAAAACTAAACATTATTAATATAACAATATCACTTTTTTATTGTATTATTTTTTTCTTCTAATTTGCGAAGGTACAAAAAATGAATTTGAAAACATGAAAAACAATACAAATATCCATAAGCTAACAATACTTTTTAACTTTTTTTTTTTTACATTATATATCTATTTTTTTGAATCACATTTTCTTGTTTTCAACCCAACATTTGCACATGAAAATAAAAATGTATATCCAAAGGCAAATTCTTGTGCAGTAAAGCCCAGATAAATCCAAACACGGGGTACACACCATTGTGGAGGCTTGCTGGACGAGCGGACGGAAGGGAGACAGAGGAGCCGGAGTCCCAAGACAGAATGGTCCTGAGCCATGCTGCCGGGGCCCCTCTTATGTGTACGGGCCCCTGTGACGTGGTGATGCTGGGGAGGGGGGGGGGAGATCGGGTGACACGTTCCCTCATCTTTAACTTTCTTAGGGCAAACGGAAAGAGGAGTGCAGAGCGGAGGAGCCACCACTAAAAATAGACGGGGCAAAATGTGTGTCAAGATGTGGGCCGGTCTGAACAGGCTAAATGTGCAATAAAAATATGTTCTAAGTTTGGTTTGAATTTAGGAATCATAGTTATAAGGATTACATATTGCAAGAGCGAATGCTATGCCGCTCCGAGAAGATACTTAAGCAGCAAGGTCATTTACAAGATGGTATTTTTAACCACCGAGAGGCTGTTCCTCTTACTATTCCTCTTATGGTGAAATGTCTGCACAAAAAGTACAGAAATTGTTAAAGGAGCCGAGTCAAGATAAGAGAACCATTATTTGTCCCATTGTGGGGAACTTTCAATGTTGCCACGCACAGGAAGTCGTAAGATCACACAGGGAGCACACAATATATACAGTATAAGTAACTGCTACGTTTCCTAGCTAGCTGTAAATGCTTCAATATCCATCTTTCGATATAGCTCAATCTATCCATAGGATAAAGTTATATGCAGTACATATAGGGCAGGATGAGTAGATGAAGTACATTAAGTGACATTCAGTGCATGGACATTCTGAAATTGCAGTATTGCACAGTGCACACAATTACAGTATTTACTATTTTCAGAAGAATCACATGTTCAGGCTTAGCAGTTATCATTGTACAGTCTGACAGCAGCAGGAAGGAAAGACCTGTGGAACCTCTCCTTCACACAGCGAGGATGGATGAATGATAATAACACTGTACAAGAGGCAAACGCCACCACAGAGTCATAGAAGGTCTTTAGGAGTGGCCCCTACACTCCAAAAGACCTGAGCCTCCTCAGTAGGTAGAGGCTACTCTGGCCCTTCTTGAAGAGGGCGTCTGTGAGTCCAGTCCAGTTTGTGGTTCAGATGAACACCCAGGTACTTGTAAGAGTCCACTCTTTTTATCTCCCTTCCCTGGATGTTCACTGGGGCTGAAGCAGCAGAGTGACGTCTGCGACTCTGCGGGAATCCACCACCATCTCATTGGTCTTCCTGCCTGTGTGTGACCTGTGACCACCCACTCCAGCTGTCTCCAGTTTGTCCCTGAGGAGCCGCGGCTGGATGGTGTTGAAGGTGCTGGAGAATTCGAATGAGAGGATCCTCACAGCGGAACCTGGTTTCTCTAGGTGGGACAGCGAGTGGTGGAGGAGGGAGATGATAGCGTCCTCCACTCTGATGCCTGGTTAGTAGGCAAACTGCAGCGGGTCCATTGCTGAGGTCAGTGTAGTGGTCCCAGGACCAGTCTCTCCAGTGTCTTCATGCAGTGGGATGTCAGATTATCATCAATATTAGTAGTATATTGTTAAATGAAATAAAATGAAATCGGTTATTAATCTGTCATCTGTTATTAATGAATGTAAAAAGTCTGCAGCAACTCTTGAGATCATAAACACAAGTTCATTATCTTATCCATGTATTGAAATATATTTATTGTAATGGGAGACCCCTGGGACCAAACAGTCGATGTTCAACCACATGACCTACTGTATGAGTCTAGTGTGTTTGTGAATGATTAGTGGAGCAGGCCGCACGTACTGGTTGTCTCACAGCTCTCAGTCTGCACAGGGCAGCTGTGGCTACAGTAGTAGTTTATAACCATTATAAACAGAGTGAATGAATAAGGCCATGTGAAGTATCTTTGAGCGTCCAAAAAGCTCAATATAAAACCAATGCATTGTTATTATTTTATTCACGGAGAGCCCCACATACTTTATTATTATTTCTATAATGAAATGCTGCTTCTGACTTATTGTTTTCAATTAGTTACATGAAATATATAGTAATTCCTGAAAGTTTAGTTATTACGAATGTTGCCAAAATTTGAATATTTTGAATGATTAGTTTTGTGGTAGTTATCGATGAGGTTATCTGTTCTCTCTGAGGGTAAAGCTTGTAAGAAACTACACATTTAACCGCTCCACAGCTCATTGGTAAAGCCATGGTTATGAGTTATATACTGTATATATATGAAGACGCTTAATGCTACCGCCGAAGTCATAACCATGAAGTTACAAATAAACAATGAGATGCCGGAGGGTAAAGGTGGGTTCACTCAGGGCAGTGACCCCGAAGCTGGAGGAGGTCACAGCAGAGCCCTGGAACAACCTCGGAACACTCAACAGTATACACTTCCAAAACAAAAACCTTTGAACATGACAAACTTGATCATTTATGAATAAAACATAATTATAAATTGATTGATAAATGAGAAATTGATGAGCAACATCTTATAAAATCAACAGCTCTAAAATCTTCTTCTAACGTTGTAACGGGCCGTAATCATTAAGTGCTTCTTTTGGATGCAGTAGAATGAGGATTACTCAAAGCACAGATATATAATTTCTCTTAACTAGAGAGCCAATGGTTGAAAAGCATTCCCACTAAAATAAAGTCCTTCCCAGGAGCCCATGGGTTGGACATCAAACTGCCTTCCAGACGCAGAGCTAACTTGAGGCTAACTGCTGCTATCTTTGTCTTCGCACTGAGCAGGAATAGAAGGAGATATTTGTGGATCATGGCTTTGATGAAACATGTCTCCCGTGAACTCAAAGCCACAGGTGTGTTCGCTTGTTGTATAAACACTTTAAACAAAGGCTTGAACAAATATTAAAGACCTAAATATTCTTAATCAAAACCATTATTACGCCTTTCAGTATCACCCTTTTATAAACAATACAGTCAACCAAAACTTAACAATCTCTGCCTAACTTTTGGGCCCCGCTTCATGTTGCTGTTTGCGAGTTTTTCAGTGAGTTTGTTTGCTGCTCACTTGATCGGTCCAAAAATACAGTGAGGAACAGAACGTTTTAGAGACTGATGAATGTCTTTGTTTGACTGCGGAGAGTGACTATGAAGCAGATTGTTTAATGTGATTGACAACTTCAACAGGAGTTTTAATGTGGTCGTAACATTACAGCTTTATGGAGGCGCAGAATGATGAGTCCAGGGAGAGGCTTTAATGGCCCTCCAGTTAAACTTTAGGATGTCATTATTAGACTTTATAGTTACTGTTCTTGAAAGTCAATGTCTCAGGATTCCTGGCAAATACAGAAGCAGTGTTGACATTGGCACACTAAGTTATATTTAGACTGAATGATCCATGCGTGTTTGAGTTGTCCTAAATCTAAACTGAATTCAAGCGGCTATTGCTTCCAGATACAGCTCTGGATGGAAGAGGAATGATGAATGTATGTTTTTTTTCGTTTTTATTGTTTGTTTTTTTAGTATTGAGGTATTCATCTTAAGCCAGTCATTATTATCATTACTATTATTTGTATATAAATGTGTAAAAAATGTCATAATGTAGGTTAGTGATGTCATTTTACAACAGGTCAGAACTTCTTTTATCGAGTCATTTTGAATTACAAAATGTTCAAAAAAAATTATCTTCCTCCTCAATTGATTTGTATTCTAACCATACAGCAGTAAAGAGGACACTGGTTTAATTCTGAGGTGGTGGGTTTGATTCCACTTCCAGGCCTTTCTTTGTGGAGTTTGCATCTTCTCCTTGTGTTTCTGTAGGTTTCCTCTGAGTGCTCCGGTTTCTCCTACCACTAAAAACGTGTACAATAGGTCTGGCATGCACCTCCTGTACGCAATCCAGCTCCTATCTCTGTGTGGAGCGAGAGACAAACGCTCAGAACAATTGTAAAGTGTTTCGTGAATTTGGTCTGTGAAAGGTGCTATATAAATAAAGATTACCTACTTATTTAATTTTCTTTTAACAAAGCAAGGCGTACTTATTGTTGAAAACCACAGAACATATTTTGTGTTGGGGTGTAATTTTAGGGAAATGTGTCTTTTTGTTTATACTGTACCTCATTGGACTATGAAGGTGTGGCCTTCATAGTCCAATGGTCTTCAATGGTTTCCTCGACCATTTGCTGGATCACTTTTTGAGTCAGTCAATCTGTCTGAAGTTTGGAACTGAAATCCACCTCATTGGCTGCATCTCAACCATGTGTTAGAGACCAATAATGATAAAGAAAAAAAAAACTATGGGGTTAAAGAAAAAACAAATCTACATCATACAATTTCAAACAAAATGTACATTGTTTTTCTTCAAGGCATGGACATTCAGTTTGATGCTTTTTGATGATTCAAACCATTGGAATGTAAAACAATACAGTTTGAATAATTAAAGGAGCAGTATGTAAAAATGTGGCCAAAGGTGGTACTGCAGCCTCTCCCACTCTCCCTGACTCAGGTTGCCAGATATGCAGACGAATCCAGCTGGGACCATAATAACTGAATAGACAAGAGTTTTATCAACAACAAATCTGTAACCAACACATTTTTCACAAAGATAAAAATCCTGGTTTTATTCCTTGTTTTGTTATTAATGATTTGAGAATCATGACAAGACCTTTTTTTTAATACAGCACCCAAATGCTACATTACCAGTGAGAATAGCTCGGCGTGGTGAGTTCTGGCAACCCGGATTACAGACTTTCTGATTGGTAAAACGGTGGAGGGCGGGACATCAAAATGAAAATAACAAGATTTAGTGGCTGTAAAACTAATTTTGAAATCCAAATATCTAAACTGATCTACTGTTATCAGTTAAAGAAGTATTCGAAAAGACCAGATTAGAGCCATTTAACGATGACCTGACATATTGCTACTTTAAGTTTTGAAACATTTATAACAGTATCATCAGTGTTGAAGCTGCAGCTTTTAGTCTGGTTTACCCTCTGGCCTCCTTCTAACACCCAAAGTAGGTCAATTAGTAAAAGTGTAAACTAACAGTTGTCTATGATCAGAAAGTGACCTTTTCACTATAAAGACAGCACAATAACACAACTATGCGAGTAAACATAACATGGGATTACAGCCTGAGCTCTAAACTACGACAACCATCACGGCCGGCTGCTCGCCACTGGCTCACAAAAAACATTTGTCAAACAGCACATACAGTATATTTATAATGTCATTGCACTGCAGTGCCTTTAAACCCTGGGAAAAGGTGGAGTGTGTAGTGAGAAGCTTGGAGTCCCTGGTGTCCCGAGTCAGTCCAGATTCTAGAAGGGGCTCCAAGTCTGTTCTGTCACCACTGTGGTAAAATAACCTGCTGCATCGGTCACTTAACACCAGGTAACTCAACATAATCTATAAAACACCACACACACACTGCTTTTATTATTCAACTCATGACTAGTATTCATTGCATGCATTGTGGATATAATAATAGTTAATGTCACTGTGATAGAAGGATGAAACCCCGAGATTAATCACAGTTCTGGGACAGGAAGACACTACTCTAGACTAAGCTAGGACTGAAACATGGACGGAGTTATATGTCCCCTTTAACTAGTACTGGCTAATATGTCCCCTTTAACTAGGACTGGCTCTGGCTCATCGTCACAGTGGTCCTAGGTTGGATCCCTGGGTCTTTCGCTGTGGCGTCTGGGTCTGGGGGGTTTTCCTCTGAGCACTGCAGCATGTCGCCCCAGGGCAGCTGTGGCTACAATAGTTGCTTAGCCTAAAGTGAATTACAATTGCCAGGCAGTGTCATTATTACAGAAGGTCTACACAAATTAACGTCAGCTTTGCCTCGTCTAAAGTACAACTAAAATGCAAATACATGTCTAAATGACTCTCAGGTTTCCATGACAACCCCATCTCTAAATTAAACCACAAGCACAAGTCCTGTAGACCTCAGTCCTCGGTCTGGATGATCTTTTCAATGTCGTTCGGCTGCACCCCCACTATTTTTACCGCTCTCTGCTGCTGGCCGGTGTTATGTTACTGTGGCTGGGCTGCTACTGTATCCTTTCCCTCACCCCATCCCCCCCCGGGACCCCCTGACACGACAGGCAGCGCCTCGTAAAGAGAGACATGGCCAACTGGGCTTAAAAAAGAGCCGTGGCATTGTGGCACTTGCAACACTTTGGCGGGGGGAGTGACATAAGCCTTATTTGGGAGAGGCTAAACGTGGGTGAAACTATAAACAATGCATTTGGTGATATACTGTATGCTGTTATGGCGGATGTGAAGTCACTAGTCACTCTGTATATTTAGTCCCTTCATGTAGGAACTGGGGTGACAGATAAGAGAGACTGCTACTTACAATTGGAGCAAGTGCTTACAATACCACTTAATCACACACAAAAACATTTAAAATTGAACTCAAAGCGCATTTGGCTTCCCTCTCATTACTAAAGAAATAAAGATAGATATTGAAAGTATATGTGAAGATGTTCAAAATATGCGTTTTCTAGCCGGACTTACTAAATGTATGTTGTTTTTTAATATATTGCAATTTATTAATAATAATGAAAAAAAGATAGAAGATACTGAAGAGATCCCCGGCAGAGCACTGTATTATTGCAGAAGACTTTGAGATGAAATCGCTAGAAGGATGAAGGAGCTGGCCTAAAATGAGGCGGAGACTGGGAGGAGGAGGGTTGCAGCGCGAATGAAGCGGCTGCTTGGATGGAGATTCTGCGCGATATGAAGCAGATGTGGGCAGTGCCTGATTGCTGCCTGATATGGATTTGCGTGTGAGCTACTGAAGAAATTAAACATTTTTTTTAAGCAGTAAGTAAGTAATCTTTATTTGTACGTCAACAAATATCATGCCCAGTCCAAACTAGAATTTATTCTATTTACAGGAAAGCGACGTGCACTTTTGAAGTCCGTAATTAAAGTATTTTTGATTGCAGTAGAAGTAGTAGTAGTAGTAGTAGCAGTAGTAACAGTAATACCAGGAACATGGCACAGACTATGAAGCGGCAGTCAAACACCAAGTATTCAGTATGATTTGTATCATCTCATTTTGTGCGTCTTGTTCTTCATGTGCGGTTACACCTCAAAGGCGGGGAACTTGGCTCTCATTGGTTGCAGGAGGTCTGCCAGGAAGTAGATGGTACCGGCCATACCTACGGACATAAGAGAGTAAACAAATATTGTAGTAATGGTTGCGCTGCATTTGTGTTTCAGAATGATGTGAAAATGATATATTTTCCAGTACAGACATCGCTCTTAAAGTCAAAATGAGACGTTATTTCAGTAACAAAATAACTAAAACAAACTGCAAATTTAGAAGCAAAAGCTTTCTTTAAAGGCAAAAACTCTAAACATGTTAAAATTCTGCCGCTGAGGGAAGGTCTAAGCACAGTGGGGATTATCCAGGACATTTAAGGTCCTTTATAAACATTTATTAACTTTGTTGCACATCGGCCCCTTATGGACCAATGGTATGTGTTTGTTATGGTTGCATTTCCTGAGTTGTATTCTTTGATTTGTGTTAGCGAATCAACAACTTTGTACCTTTGTAACTTTGCCTCTGAGATAACTGCTGTTGTGATTTATGGCTATGCAAAAATACGCTTGTCGAATCAGATTAATAGTGAAAGAATTCAACACAAAGTACCAGGTTTGAGACGAGAGCATTTTTAGGCAGAAGGGGAGGAGGGACATGTTGTTAAAGTTACTAATATTAGCGTGGATGGAATTAAAAACCACTGCAGGTCTGTTTTTCATAAGGAACAATTTAGTAATTTAAAATAAAAAATAACATTACAAGGTTGATGAAGCTCAGTGGTACATTCCCAGCTGCTAAATACTCAAGTGACATCTAGTTTCTTTCACACAATTTGGAAAAAGGGATAGACATAAGCCAAGTTTATACCGATCATTAAATGTATTAGATTCAGATTCATTTTATTTGCCAATTGCAGTAAAACCATATTGTAAGACATTTGCAAAAGTCCCCAGTATGCATCAGACAAGTTCATAAATAAGCAAGGTTAAAATCAGGATTACAACAAACTATTAGAAAGTGCAGGAAACAATTGGTGCTGTGAAATCGCTCAACAAAAACAGTATTGCTCATCCATGTGGTAATCTGCTGCCCCCTTGTGTTGTTGCACCAAAATGCAAGGATTCCTGATGTCCAGGTTGTAGTAATGTTCAGGGCCTGTGTGACACCCCATGTGCAAAACCTATTCCATAACAGAGAGCTTGTGTCAAGTGTGTGTGATTGTGTTGAGTTGTTGGAGTGAGAGGGGTTGGAGACAAATAAGCGTCTGCTTCTTATCTGCTTTTTCAAGCCTTTTATTTTATGTCTTGTTTTATGTTTTTAATATTGTTTATTATTTGCAAAGAATTTCAAATCAATTCTTACTAAACAAATAATATCAAAATGAAGAGTCTGTGTGATCTGAACCAGCCGTGTCAGGTATATAACACCAAAGATTCTAGGACTTGTCCTATTGTCAGATTGACTATACCTGTAGGTACAGATGTGTAGTATAGATACAGTGCCTTGCGAAAGTATTCGGCCCCCTTGAACCTTTCAACATTTTGCCACATTTCAGTTTTCAAACATAAAGATATACAATTTTAATTTTTTGTCATGAATCAACAACAAGTGGGACACAATCGTGAAGTGGAACGAAATTTATTGGATAATTTAAACTTTAAAAAAAAATAAAAAACTGAAAAGTGGGGCGTGCAATATTATTCGGCCCCTTTACTTTCAGGCAGCAAACTCAGTCCAGATGTTCAGTGAGGATCTTTGAATGATCCAATGTTGTCCTAAATGACTGATGATGATAAATAGAATGCACCGGGCGGCACGGTGGCTGAGTGGATAGCACTCTCCCCTCTCAGCAAGAAGGTCCTGGGTTCGAATCCCAGTTGGACCAGGGCCTTTCTGAGTGGAGTTTGCATGTTCTCCCCGTGTCTGCGAAGGTTTCCTCCGGGTGCTCCGGTTTCCCCTACCACTAAAAATATGTACAATAGGTCTGACATGTGCCTCCTGTACTGGCACCCCCACTCCCAAAAATAACAATTGTAAACCGCTTTGAGACTCCGATGTGCAGTGAAATGGCGGTATATAAATAAAGAAAGATTACCTGTGTGTAATCAAGTCTCCGTATAAATGCACCTGCTCTTTGATAGTCTCAGGGTTCTGTTTAAAGTGCAGAGAGAACCATAAAGACAAAGAAACACACCAGGCAGGTCCGAGATACTGTTGTGGAGAAGTTTAAAGCCGGATTTGGATACAAAAAGATTTCCCAAGCTTTAAACATCTCAAGGAGCACTGTGCAAGCAGTTATATTGAAATGGAAGGAGTATCCAACCACTGCAAATCTACCAAGACCCGGCCGTCCCTCCAAACTTTCATCTCAAACAAGGAGAAGACTGATCAGAGATGCAGCCAAGAGGCCCATGATCACTCTGGATGAACTGCAGATAACTACAGCTGAGGTGGGAGAGTCTGTCCATAGGACAACAATCAGTCGTGCACTGCACAAATCTGGCCTTTATGGAAGAGTGGCCATTTCTCAAAGATATCCAATAAAAGTTTGCCACAAGCCACCTGGGAGACACACCAAACATGTGGAAGAAGGTGCTCTGGTCAGATGAAACCAAAATCAAACTTTTTGGCCACAATGCAAAACGATATGTTTGGCGTACAAGAAACACAGCTCATCACCCTGAACACACCATCCCCACCTCCGCTGTAGTTATCTGCAGTTCATCCAGAGTGATCATGGGCCTCTTGGCTGCATCTCTGATCAGTCTTCTCCTTGTTTGAGATGAAAGTTTGGAGGGATGGCCGGGTCTTGGTAAATTTGCAGTAGTCTGATACTCCTTCCATTTCAATATAATTGCTTGCACAGTGCTCCTTGAGATGTTTAAAGCTTGGGAAATCTTTTTGTATCCAAATCCGGCTTTAAACTTCTCCACAACAGTATCTCGGACCTGCCTGGTGTGTTCCTTTGTCTTCATGGTTCTCTCTGCGCTTTAAACAGAACCCTGAGACTATCAAAGAGCAGGTGCATTTATACGGAGACTTGATTACACACAGGTGCATTCTATTTATCATCATCAGTCATTTAGGACAACATTGGATCATTCAAAGATCCTCACTGAACTTCTGGAGTGAGTTTGCTGCACTGAAAGTAAAGGGGCCGAATAATATTGCACGCCCCACTTTTCAGTTTTTTATTTGTCAAAAAAGTTTAAATTATCCAACAAATTTCATTCAACTTCACGATTGTGTCCCACTTGTTGATTCATGACAAAACATTAAAATTGTATATCTTTTGATATATATCGTTTGAAGCCTGAAATGTGGCGAAATGTTGAAAGGTTCAAGGGGGCCGAATACTTTCGCAAGGCACTGTATGTTCAGGTACCTTCAAACAGAGAGAAGGGAGTGTCCGGAGTGCGACAGCCATGTCTGCCGTAGTTCATACACCAGTCTGCAAACTGTGGGCGATAGAAGGAGCAGTGTTACAATTCACATCAGGTCCATTCGCATGGAAATCTATCAGATTATCTATTCTATTCTTTATATAAATAAAAATATAAACATCATTTCTTTTCATGACTATTGACTGTAGATTCACACCAGGCTGTGTAAGGGCTGTTTGACCAATAAGGAGAGTGATGGGTGCTGGGCCAGATGACCTGGCCTCCACAGTCACCGGACCTGAACCCAATCCAGATGGTTTTGGGGTGAGCTGAACCAGAGTGAAGGTGAAGGGGCAACAAGTGCTAAGCATATCTGGGAACTCCTTCAAGACTGTTGAAGACCATTTCAGAAATGAAATCTTTCAGAAATCTTTATGTTTATGCATGCAAAGATGTATTAAAACTCTCAAGAGGCATTGCATGTATAAGTAATGCATGTTTACTTTTAGATGCACTGGAATCAAGTCCTAAATAACTCTGAAACAGCTGTTATTTTGTGCTTTTGTGTCTATTTCTTGTTGTAAATGTTACGCAGTACAATGTTTGTGGTTTTTCACTGATCCAAAGCAAAGCAGAGAAGATGCAGTCAAATAGGCTGGCCTGGAGTCAGTCCCACTCAGCCGCCTTCCTTTTTTTAAACTTGGTTTTACCTAGTTTGTCATTTGCATCATTGCTAGAGTGATTTTTGTTATTTTCATTCCACATGAACAGGCTTTGTGGCATCTGCTGGAGCTCTCACCATGCAGGCCCGGAACAGGTGCTTGGGATCTCCCGTGTGCCGGTGAAGGGCAAGGAAGGTGTAGGCGTTTCCTGCTGCACCGTGGCACAGGCCGTACCCCTTTTTCAGTAGGCCGTACCTCCACACCACGTCCCCACACTGGAGCGCCGCCTCCAGGTACCCCGCTCCCCCAAACACCTGCAACAGGATGAGGAGAGGGGACAAGCTTTGACTCCTTTCAGATCACATTTATTCAGTTTATTTCACAAACAATTCCACAAAGCCCTGCACATTAGATGCTTCGGATTGCAGTAGGGGGTCTTACGCACACGCACACACAGACACAAAAACCACAGGTTCACGGGATCATTGTCCGAAATAGACGCTCCGCACTGCACCTCGAGGTCCTTCGAAACTTTCAAACTATATTGCTTCATAGCCAAGTATCTGCTAACAAAAATAATTCAAGATTCCAATTTGTTACATTCATGCATTGACATGGTTTGGTAAGAGTACATGCATCATGTACATACACCCAAAAATGGATTAAGGCTCAGGGTTAGAAAATGGATGGACATGCATCATGAACATGTACGTGTATGAAGTATCTATCTATCCATCTATGTGTTATTGCGGTGCTCAGACTGTAGCTGACCTTGTAGGCCTGCAGCAGCATGTAGACCACTCCTGGGGAGCCATGGCACCAGTGCACCAGCAGGTCGCGATCGTCGCCCACACACGGTGGGTAATTACCAGAGGGGAGCTTCAGCGCGCACACATAGTCCACACTGGGCTTCACCACTCTGTGCAGCTGCTCCACAGAGGACACCATACCGGGCTGGGGACAGGGCAGCATCCAGAGTCACATTTACATTGCTCCACATGTTATTATAGACTTTGAACATGTGCATCTTCCTTTTTATCAACAAAGTGCACAAATAACAACAGGTGAGTACTTGTGCAGGTGCTCTTCTAAATGTATTTTGTAACATGTTATATTGTTGTTATTGTGTTGGACGTACCTGCATAAGATAATAGTAGATCCCCGACAGGCCGTGAGCCGCACCCACATAGTGCTCCTGGTACCACTCAAACATCAGAGGAGTCTGATTCTGAACCCGGAACCTTCTGCTCTGATGGTCCCCAGACACAATCACAGCCTCACAGATCTAAACACAGAAAGTCAGATTCTCATGACATCAGCCCCACGGGCCCCTGAGCTCAATGGGACTCTTTTTGCTTTCAGAGAGGGGTGTGCGGTGTACAGTAGGCACTCAGAGAACCATCAGGAATCTCAACAATCGCCAGTAATCAGAGCAAAAGGTGCTACTTTGAAGAACCAAGAACATAAGACATATTTTCAGTTGTTAATTCATAGTTTTGATGCCTTCAGTGTGAATCTACAATTTTCATAATCATGAAAATAAAAAAACTCCAAACTTTTGGCCTGTACTGTGTATGCTTGCTGTCAGATGTCTTCTGATGGCACCTGAAATGTCATACTTGTAGATAGATGTAGATTTAACCATCAGTATAGGCATGAGCGGAGTGCAGTGCGATGATGGTGTGTGTGACACCTGTTGGATGTAGTCCAGGGGGATCTTGTCCTGTCCAAACTGCTGGTTGATGAAGAGGAGTGAGTACAGGAATCCCACTCGGCCGTACAGGAGCTCATCAGGGAGAGTTCCAGAGCCCTTCACCACCGCCTCATGGTACTGCATTAATCTGGCCAACAACAAAACAACACTTCACAACACATTCATTAGAAACAGTATGAGATGTTGAGCTCAGAAACCTGTTGATGCAGTCGTCAGCCTCCTGAGGCCTCTGCAGACGATGGTACAGCACCGCGGCCACAGCCAGGGGTCCGGAGTCTCCACAAAGGAAGGTGACGTCTCTGCGGCGGGTCATGCTCTGAAGGGCGTGGCTCACGTGCTCATAGGCTTTGTGGAGGAAGGATGAGTCGCCAAACACTTTATGGAGGTGTAGATAGAGCAGGGCGATTCCTGAGGCCAGGCAGAGGACAGAAAGAGGTCACGTGAAGGCCTGATGGACTGAGAGGGGACGGGAGCCTTGTAACGAGCACATGTATCCAGTGTGAGATTAATAAAGTTTCTTATCTTAATGCTTTTTTATTGTGGGATTCTTATTTACTGGTGACATGTTAACGTGAATGTGAAGTTTACTTATTCCTTTTTATCCTTTAGGGAAGGAATCAATCTCAATGAGTGCAACAGGTTCCGCAGGCCAATCCTTCCTGCTGTAGTCAGACTAATACTGACTTCTATGCGTGGTAATATTGTGTAAGAAGGAGCGCTACCCCTGGGCCTTTATCCCCATTGTTGTCAGACTGTACAACAAGTCACTTTAAGTCACTGCGATTAGACTGAAAAACCTGCACTACTATTGACACTGTTTCTGATTGCCACTTTTTAAATCGACACTTCTTTTATTGTACATAAGATCCTGCATTTAACATGTTTGCACATTTCTTTCTTTTTGCACAATCTTGAGTGTTTCTATCCATGCTAGATGTGACATGTAAATTTCTCCTTTGTGAGATCAGTATATCTATTATATCTTATCTTATTGTGTTAGACGTGGTAATGCTGGTAATACTGTGGCAGACGTGGTAATACTGTGGTAGACGTGGTAATGCTGGTAATACTGTGGCAGACGTGGTAATACTGTGGTAGACGTGGTAATGCTGGTAATACTGTGGTAGACGTGGTAATGCTGGTAATACTGTGGCAGACGTGGTAATACTGTGGTAGACGTGGTAATGCTGGTGATACTGTGGTAGACGCGGTAATGCTGTGGTTGACATAGTAATGCTGGTAATACTGCGATATACTCTTCATAGTAACGTAATGTGCAACACTGTATATAGTGTTTCCACCAAGAACTCTCTTTAGTCACTTGTCTGAGGACCCTGGCCACACATAGCTTAAGAGAGTGTATAGTTATCATATACTAAACAAAGAATGTTTCGGTGTACAAAAAATATACTAAAACAACTTCAACTTCATTAAGGAAAGAGCAGCGTGTGCAAAAGCCCAAGCTCAGAACAAGTAAGCCTCACTTTTTCCATGGATTATTCATCCGAGCCTTGTGTGAGCAACGTACGACTGGTCAATATTGAGCAAAGCAAACGAAACTAAATAAAATACAGATATAATTCATAATTTAAATATAGCATCAAAACTGGGTGCAGCTTTGACTGCCACCCCCACAACCCAGAAATGGATTGGGGGAAGAAGATGGATGGATGGATGAACTTAATAACTAGAGTAAATAAGTCTGATCACTCTCAAAACGTTTGCCTTTAACACTAGTTTCCACATGGACGTATTTGTATTTGGCCTGTCAGATGTTTGGATCAGCGTTCTCTGACAGAAGGTGAAAGAGAGGATTAATCTCACTCTGACGGCTCTCAGTAAAAAAAAAAAAAGATGATAATAAATGTTGATAAGATGGAGACAGCATGTTATGGTCTGATTGTTCACAAAATGTCATTTTTACAAGATCCTTCTGTTGGGAATAGCAAATGTATTTATGAAACCAAAAATTAGTTTAGTACTCCAGCTTTAATGCATCTGGTCACAGTGGCTGTCATCAGGCAGGGGGGTAACAGCACGAGTGGAGCCGGTCCGCAGACCGGCAGAATTGCAGAATTGCATAGTGGACTGAGGGACTGAGGAGAGACCAGTGTTGGGCACGTTACTTTGAAAAAGTAATTAGTTATAGTTACTAGTTACTTCTCCCAAAAAGTAACTGAGTTACTAACAAAGTTACTCCACTATAAAAGTAACTAGTTACCAGTAAAAGTAACTATTGCGTTACTTTTTCGTTTTGTTCTGGAACATAATGTGCACTCGACGTGCGCATTTTTACCTTTAACCTTTAACCTTTAACCTCAGTGAGTCTGAAATATTGCCAATATTTCCATCTTTAAAAAGGCTGTTATGCTGCTGAAGTCCTGTTCACTCTTCATCTCTCTCTGTGCTGTAAGCACTAAACACCAACACGCTCCACTGTGAATGTGGAAACACCGGTGAAGCACTGACTTCAGCCCAATCAGATGAACATATATATCATATAAATCAAGTGGACAATTTGTTTGGCTACAGCAGAATATGTTTCATGCCTGCATTGTTTGTTCATACAAAACGCAAAACTAAGAGTTATGGCTATACCTTATAAATGACCTGCACAGACCACTTCGGTTCAGACCAGTTCTGTGTTTAAGTCCGGGTAGTAGTTTGAGCGTAGATATGTAATCCTCCATTTGTAAATAAGTCCAAAGAGTTTTAAAAAGTAAAACAAAACGCGTGTGTCCTCCATAAACTCCTCTGTTTTGCTGCAGCCGGCTGCATCCAATTTCTAAAATCAACCGTCTTACACTTCACCTCTCTTTCTTATCATTCCTATAGTAATTGAAAAATTACCCTAAGTGCATTTTAAATTATCTTAAAATGTGTTATATGTATGTTAGCCAAACCTGTTGCTGTCCTTAGCAGATAAACCAGGAAGAGAAAGGAGCTTATCGATGGAATTGTATGCAGCCGACTTCTGCGCTCACATGAGCTCCTCTGAGGCTGACCTCACGGTGATACAAGCCGTGGTTGAGCGCGATTAAGACCCATATTTGTTTCAAAAACACAATTTATGAGCCATCCTCTCAACTGTAGACATGTAGATTGTAAAGGAAATACGTTTTACATCAGCCAATAATTGCTGAGAGGTTTTCTCATCCTCCTTTCTCTCAAGACAACAGGATCCTATAATGACGGAAAAAAAGTTAATTGTGCTACTTGAGTAACGCGCAGTATCGGGGTGTCGGCAATGATAACGGCGTTATAGTTACAGTCAAAGTAATAAGTTAGATTACTCGTTACTGAAAAAAGTAACGCCGTTATTCCCATCACTGGGAGAGACCCTGTGGTCGCAGCTGTGGTCGCAGCTGTGGTCGCAGCTGTGGTCGCAGCTGCTGTTCCTCTGTGCGCTCAGACCAAAAGTTAAACATCCCCAGGGAGCATACACACAAGAACTATAGTCTTTCAGCTCTATACAGCTCCTATATACTGTGCAGCATGGTGGCTGAGAGGATAGCACTCTCACTTCTCAATAATAAGGTCCTGGGTTCAAATCCCGGGTCGAACAGGGTCTTTCTGTATGGAGTTTGCATGTTCTCCCCGTGCCCCACTGTTTCCTGTGTACTATGACGACCACTGCTCCTGATAGACGCCGTAGTGGCCCCAGGATGGGTCAAATGCAGAGAATGAATTGCCTTACGAGGACAAATAAACCTTTACTGGTTGTACTACAATCAGTATCATATCGCCTAGCCTTAAAGCAATGGGTTATAAACTGTTTAATTTCTGTGTAAATAAGAGCTATATTTTGCTCTAGTGTTCAAATTAAACACGCTGTGGCAAAAAGACTACCTCCAGAAGTGACTTAAAAGGCGAATTGCTCTGACACACCATCCATGAGGCTCAGTGTAGTTGCGTGCAGTGGGAATTAGGTTCATGCGTTGCCATTGCCTTAGCTGCATGTAGAGCACATAACAAATATGGCAGCTGCTGCATGTGCTCTTGAAGAACAGACCTGTCCAGCCGGTGTAAGTGGTGCAGTCCCGAGGGTCCGCAGAGCCCAGTCCGTTCTCCATCACAGACATCAGCTCGTTGATTTTGCTGCTCAGCCTCTGAGAGAACTCTGGGGTGAGCTAAAGACAAACATGGTGTTAACACTATTTTAACCTCTTATATGTGTTGCTATAAAACAGATAATCATGAGGCCTTACCCGCCCCTGCGTGTCAAAAAGGGACTGTGTGGACGCTGGGTTGCCATCATAGTCAGAGTATGGGTTTCTCAAGGCTCGCGTGTCCATTTTTCTGTGGAAATATAATACATTTAAAATGACTTAGAAACAGTATTACAAGCGGATTAGGGATCATTTAAATAATTGTTTTAGGTAATTATGTTACCTATAATACAAGTAAATACATATTAGCATCACTGAAAAAACCTTTCATTAAAACAATACTTGTATTTATATAATTAAAATCATACTTACAATCACCTTTAACTATGACACACATACATATTATTTGTGTTTGCATGTGTATTTCTGAAATACATATTCAAAAGAAGCAGCTTTGAAGAGGGAGTAGTGAGTGCTGAGTATGTTCAGTTACATAGCCAACGAGGATCTGCCATTGAAACACCCAATGTGATTTTAGACAAGCGCATTTGAGGTGGTTTTGATATATTCTGCTCATAAGAGACTGAAAAATGACATCCATCTTTTTGAGCCTTGTCACGGTATCAAAATTGCACAGCGTAAACACACACCATAGAGGCATCAGGAGGAATCATAAACTGGCTGGACATTAAGAAAAGACTTACATATGTTATTAAAAGCGCAGTGTTGAATCAAGAGTGCGGGGAACGCCCACTCAGGCAAAACCAAAACAAACCAGGGGCTAGCTAGCACCCTGCTGCGGGTGTTAGCATGACCACGATGCTCAGTCTGTGCAACTGAAGAAGGCGATGAAGATGATGCAGTGTGGACTATGTGTGTCAACGCGTGTGTGTGAGAGAGAGGCTCTCAGTTAAAATGTGTGTAAATGTGTAAAATAGAGTTTAATGTACCTGAGTGTGCAGATACGGGTGCGCTCGTGCGGGCGAGCGTGGGGAGACGTGGTGCACGTGCTGCTGACATCTGCTGGACAAGTAACGAAACTGCAGCAAGATGTGGAATGAAATTAACCCTTTCATGCACAGTGGTCACTACAGCGGACAGCTATTCAATGGTTGTTTTCTTCCATATGTGTGAGTTTTGAAGTCCCAGTTGCATTTATATCACTATAGAGGACCCTGGTGTGTCTTTCCATATGCACTGCAACAGACTGGTAAACATACAAATGTTTAAAAAAAACTCTCAAAAAAAGATGGCCGACAAAAGAGAAAATGTGAGGAGGAAAATATATTCATACATTATATTCCAGGAAGGTTTAGCAGGTAAAAAAAAAAATATGTGGACATCAAGTAACATCGGGAGCCGTATAATTGATGAAAAACCCAAGTATTGATTTTATGTTTTGAGGAAATTGTAATGAATCATGTGTCCACTAGAGTGGACGTTGTGCATCACCAGCTATATTTTGAATACAGTGCATAGTGTTGCTGCAACTTAGTTGTTTCTGGAAAAACTTCATTTTCAATACAGTTTTGGCTGCAAATAAATTACATTATATTATAATGTAATTATATTATATCTTGTGAATATTAGTCATATCATGAGAATATTGATCCTTTTCCATGTGTTTTATAGCTGTCAGGGCCAGAGCAGAATAGAAACGCCTAGGACAGTCCAGGAATTACCATCAGACTCAAGTAAGGGTGATGTTAGTGGGAATGATAAAGAATTTTACCAGACAAAAGACAATTAGTAAATTGTAACAGCTGCGACAGTGAAGTTGAAGATGTAGAAGGAGAAGATGCTGAGGCATTTGAGGTGAATGAAGAGGCTGAGGGAGATGGTGCTGTCCGACTTGACCAAGCTCAAATGCACGTTGTCCACTCTAGTGGACGTGTCACCAACTTCATGGAGAATTCATGTTTTTTCAAAATGATAATATGTTTTATCTCACATGCCTCAAGAGTAATTAAAACACGTGCATGAAAGGGTTAAATTAACTATTTACTTTAAAAAGGTAATAATTACTTAGTAGTGGAATACTACTGTGGTGTGTCTATTTCTTTTATTGTATGTTTAAAACAGATTTTTTGTGCATACTTAACTTTTTGAAATATGTCATTATTTGGAATGTATTGAGGATGGTGCCAACTGCAATCAGATTGCTAAATTCTGCTATTTTTCAACTTTTAGCTGAAAGGTAATTGAAATAGTTTTACAAAAAATTTGGTGTGAATAAAATCTCTTGTCAATTGACATTCTTTACAACTGTGTGTTTGCAGCACATTCAACACCTCTCTCTGGGGATAGGAGATCACTCTCTCCGATTCCAAGCGCTGCACTCGCATAACGCCAGATGTCTGGTGGTTCTTTAGTTTAGCATAAGATTAGGTAAAAAATACAACCACAAGTCTAAAAAACAGTCAAGCTGCATATGGAGTCAGTTTGCTGGTAGAAGTATTGTAACTTGAACAAGCTGGTCAGGACGGCCAGCTCCACTCTGGGCTGCTCCCTGCGGCCTCTGTGGAGGAGGTGAGGGACAGGAGGCCCCTGGACTTTGTGGAGGAGGTGAGGGACAGGAGGCCCATGGTCTCTGTGGAGGAGGTGAGGGACAGGAGGCCCCTGGACTTTGTGGAGGAGGTGAGGGGCAGGAGGCCCCTGGACTCTGTAGAGGAGGTGAGGGAAGGAGGCCCCTGGACTCTGTGGAAGAGGTGAGGGGCAGGAAGCCCCTGGACTCTGTGGAGGAGGTGAGGGGCAGGAGGCCCCTGGACTCTGTAGAGGAGGTGAGGGACAGGAGGCCCCTGGACTTTGTGGAGGAGGTGAGGGGCAGGAGGCCCCTGGATTCTGTAGAGGAGGTGAGGGAAGGAGGCCCCTGGACTCTGTGGAGGAGGTGAGGGGCAGGAGGCCCCTGGACTCTGTGGAGGAGGTGAGGGACAGGAGGCCCCTGGACTCTGTGGAGGAGGTGAGGGACAGGAGGGTGCTAGTCAAAGTCACCTCCATCATGAACAACACCTCCCACTGCACAGGACTGTAGAAGAGCTACAAGGAGCTCTCTCAGTGGAAGACTGAGGCACCCTCAGGGCAAGAAAGAGCACTACCACAGGGCCTTTATCCCCACTGCTGTCAGACTGTACAATAAGTCACTTTAAGTCACTTACGCACTAGGACTGAAAAAAACTGCACTACTATTGCCACTTTTTATTGTGCATAATTATGTCCTGCAGAGACTATATTTTTTAACCTTTAACATTTTGCACACTTCTGTCTTTTGCACAATCTGAGTGATTCTATCCATGACAAATGGGACATGTACATTTCTCCGGTGTGAGATCAATAAAGTTTCTTATCTTGAGCACTATCATCTCCTCCTTCTTACTTTATCTGTCATCATTATGACTTTGACTGTGGTCTGTCCCATCGTCTGTTTCATGGCAAGATGATGGGACCCCTGAACCTGGCTCCCTCTGCTCCTGCAGACTGCCCTGTTCGGGCCGACTTGTGGGCTGCACCCCGTCCCCACCAGCCTCACTCTTGCATTGCGCCTGTCCCCGAGTCCTGGATCTAGCCCGTCCATCTGTGGGAGCGGATCTCCCTCTCAACCTGGACATTCCAGAGGTTTCTCACCTTTTCCCACTGGGTTTTAGAGTGGTTCCTTGCTGATGCAAGAGGGTCTGTTGGACCCTTGTGAGGGTCTAACAAAAAGGACAGTGATGATCCAGACTCCACTCTCAACACTCTTTTAGGGAAATACGAGAATAAATTGAATTGAATTGAAATTGAACAGGAGAATTGCATTTGTTGTTGTTAAATTGTTTTATATTTATTATTTAAATTATTATTACATTATTTTCACATTATAAAACCGAAGGATATTCAAATCATACATGAACACCAACAATGAATAGTATTTGGTCTCCAACAGGTAACTGTCACCCTTATTAAAAAAATCACATTTTTAGAATACCCCTTTTATGATGTTGTTAACAAACTGTCAACAGCCCTCAGAAATATGCTCCTCAGGCTGACTGCTTGATTACACAGAGGAGCTGACTTGTCACTCCTCTTTGCATTTCAGACGCCGCTGGTTCCCGCGGCCGCGTTCTTATCATTATTAGGACTTGTGTTTTTCCCGTAGTTTTGGACATGAAAGACGGGCCCCAGGTGGAGAGCAGGCAGCCTTGCAGTGGGGGACACGCTCTGGCCCTCACGCAGCACAAGTCTGGCCTCGGAAGTGGCTTTTGAAAGACATGTTATTGAACACAATCACAGGGGACTGAAGAGGAAAAATAAATTGGAGAAAAAATTGATTCTCAATTGTTCTGAGCGTGCAAAAGCCTTGGAGAATGCTGCGCTAAAACTGAGGCTTTCAAAGAGCGAAGTGGACACACTGTGCAAAATGGTCTTGATAGAGTTGTTCCAGCATCAAAAACACACCTGAAGCTGTTTTAGCTTCCTCCACAAAACTGCACAAGCACATCCCCCCACCCCTTTTGTCTTAATTAATTTTGGAAAATGCTCTCGTCTTTACCACTGCATGCCTACAGTGAGAATATTTATTTATTGTTTACCAGTGAAAACCAGCAGACTCTCCTATTTCAAATTATTTCCTCTTTAAAAACTAATTTTCCTTTGTTGAATTTAAAGCTGGTGTATCTAACTTTCAAACCACAGTAGAACAGTATATCAGTTTATTTTACTGGTTTTCATACTCATGTATCTTTTGATCAGCTCTCAGCCCAAAGCAGCAAATTGTGACTCGTTGCAAAAGATAAGAAGTGTTTTCTAATAGCACAAAGAAAGCATGTTCTGGGAAATAAACGTTGTGTGTTATAATCACAGACTTCCACCACTAGGAATAGTTTGTAGCTTGAACTTTTAGTGTATACCCATGTCACTAAAATATATTCAGCGTAAAATCATTTCAATCTGAAGAGACCAAGTCAGACACATTAATGCATAAAAAAAGATTTATTTGTTTGGCGCATTGACCCCGGCACGGTCTTCCCAGTCTGAATTTACGCTTCAGCTTCATTACAGATCTCAGTTGTCATTAAGGCAACAAGTAGATTTTAGTTACTTATGTTGCATTGAGAAATTTTTTTGTTGCATAAACTATTACTTATGTTGCGTCGAGAGTTTTATTAAATGTGAGGCAACTTGTAGCACATTTGTTTTTTGACATGTATTTGACTTAGACTTCCTTGGCCTAAAGAACGAAATCACTGATACAAGTGGTCAACTTGTATCAGTTCTTCTGCAGAGTGGGCGCTCCCTGGGAGAGGATAAGGAGCTTGTTCCCACCAGAAGAGCTTAGAGTAGTTCTGCGCCATTGTGTAAACATCATTTGTCTCTGGAATTATTCCCTTCTTGTCCTACTTCATTCACACGACCTACAATATCAGGTGCAGTCGTAGGCTAGTGTTTCCCTCCCTTTTAGAGCTCTCACCAATCTCTGCAGCCTTTATTGAAAATTCAAAGTCGATCTCCTTAAAGTGTATTATATAGAAAATCCCTCAAGCACAAACAAGTCTTTCTTTCAATGTAAAGAAAACAGTGTTACAGCCTGGTCCAAAAGTCGGCTCTTGGCTCAAAGCTACGTTCCAGATGCTGTTAATGATGAGTGAACTATTTTGTTGAACCAGTCTAGTTTAGCAGCGGGTGACTTTTGAATGCACTCGAGAAATGAATGAGGCTAGGGCTGCACTAATGAGTTTTTTTTAAACTTAATTATCCATGCCGGAGGGGCTGCCCATTGCCATTTTGAGACATTCCCATGTCTGTGGCACATACATTTCAATGGAGGAAATAGCCATCACTAAGTCCGTATATATTTACAGTCTATGGATGCAGGCCATTTCATCCAAGCCGGCCCCTTTCACCCTCAGCGCTGCCAACTTCTCTGCCAACTTATGCCAATCAACCCTGCAGTGTGAAAAATAGAGTATGCAGAAAAGAGCACGACCACACTTCCCCTGCTAGGATGCTAAAATCTTGAACTAATGTCAGAAGGTGCAATATAAGTATACCACATGTGTCACCGTCA